GCTTCCTGCACAATAAAGAGGAGGGTTACCATCCTACTCCTCAGCACAGATCCCCAACATCGCTTACTCATCTCTTTCGCCTGGATTACATCGAGCGCCCTGCCAAAGGAGATACCAATTTGAAACAGCAGGTTCTCCTTGTCGAGTCATTTTTTAATGATATTGGCATGGCATTTGGACTCGACAAATGTAATACTCTTCATCTGAAACGTGGCAAGGTAACTAATGGCGGATCGGTCAAGTTACAGGGTGACGAGTTACTGAGTATCTTGTGGAAGATCATATGCCTACAGCTATCATGGAATGTAAGTTCGAGACAAGCTCCAGAATGTAAAGATTCAAGGCAAATTTCGGACTGTGTATAAACTCACTTACAGAAAATCGGGAGCTTAGAGCTAAATGCTCGAAACAAGGTCAAAGCAACCAATACGTTTGCTGTGCCAGTTCTTTTCTATTCCTTTGGCGTAGTTGATTGGACAGAACAAGACATCCAGAGTCTTGACCGCCTGACCAGAAGGATCATGTCTGATAACAGAGCCCACCACCCTCGCTCCTCTCTCAATCGTTGCCAAGTGTTGAAGTTAATCAAGGCATTCCTTCTGACCTCGAAAAAGATGGGTTTCTGGACCCAAGTGTTGTGAACGTCACTATCCTTGATGACTTACTGTTGACAGCGAGCAAAGAACCACGCATTGCAGATCTCTTTGCCAAAGGAAGTCATCATCATAATCTCCCTGTGATAGCCTTGAACCAGAATTTGTATTACAGCAAAGACCCTACTCAAAGAAGAAACTGTCATTATCTGCTTCTGTTCAGCAATCCTATTGATAAACAACCCATCATGATTTGGCAAGGCAAATGTATCTAGAATATTATAAATATTTCATCGACCCATTCCAAAGAGCTACCCAGAATCCTTATGGATACTTGTTGGTGGATGTAAAACCGCAAACACCTCTCCATTTGCGACCTTGTCCCAATGCATTCAGTTTAAAGTAGACCTCCAAGCTAAGACAATTCAGTGCAAGACTTACAGAGTGAGCAGATGTGAAGAAAACCTCCCAACAATGCCATCTTGTGACGTCTGTGGACTCAAAAGCAGGATTTGCAAAACACAGAAAAAACTGGTGTCCCCAAAAGTCCTCAGTGAGTCGACGTGGGATACCCCAAGTGGGATTCAAAAGGAATTGGGAGGAAGACAAGTTCTCTGCTGTGGAGACACCTTGTCATCTGGCGGACTGTGACTACTGTGGTCAGGTGTTAAGCATATACCACAACTTATAAAGACATTTACATGATAAACACTCTCGGGATATGGAAAATGATGGTAAGGAATCTTTAAGTGATGTTAAAGATGATGAAAATAAGAAGAAAAACAAGATGGATAACCTGGACAAATGTATTTACATATGCACAAGTTGAATAAAGACTTTTTCCATGAGAAGCAACAGCTGTACAAGGAAAGAGGTCTAACTGAAGAAATTAATATGGAGCACTTTTAAAGAGACATATGCACGATTGATTAATATCTGTATTATATGCAGTGGGGTGTAAAGACATAAGAAATACTGAAGCAAGTACAAGACACGAATAATATATATCATGGAGTGTTTTCTGTACAAACTGTACAAATATACTGAAAGCCATTAAAAATGCAATTTGTCATTCATACTTTCTTTACTCACAACAACGACATCACACAAAGGAGGGGTCACTTGCAGTCAATATCGTGTGTGTCCACCGTGCGCTGCAAGACATGCGCGCAGTCTTTGGGGCATTGAAGGACACACATTTCTCAGGAACAGCTGTTGGATGGTCTGCAGCCTCTGATGGTCTGTGGTCTGATCAAGACACCAGCCCCTCCAAAACGATCATGTTCAAGGACAAAGTTTGGCGCAAGTCTTTCTCCTTTACGTCGATAAATCTGTTGACGTCCATCTGCAAAGGATACGTTAAACCTGTTGCCAAGATTGGCCCCATTTGCTGCCCATCGCTGTCTGGCAAGTCTGTGGCGATGCAATAAGGTTGGACCACGGTACGGGTGACGACACCGGATGTTGAAGGCAGCAAGGCGTCCTTGCACCTTTTGGGCGCTGAAATGACGTTGACTTGTCCCAATTGTCCTCCTTGCCTAATCATCAGCTGTTTGGAACCGATTCCGCAAGTGTGAAACTCGGATATTGCAGTTTTGTCGAGCTGTTATCAAAGGTGGTGCACCAGGTCGCGGACGATCAGCAACACTTCTGGTAGCCTGAAAACGTTGTCTGAGTCGACTTACAGATGGATGCACATTAAAGTGCCTGGCAATCATCACATCTGAAGCACCTTGGCTGACCATACCGATAACCTGATTCCTTTCGTCCTGTGTCAAGTGTGGCATTTTCTCAAAGTGATTGAGTTCCACAATTCCTTGTGCTTTTACAGGGCCTGGGTGCAGGTAATGCATGTGCACAACGTGTTTCATGAATGTGGTTGTGTTTACAAGAAATGTCAAAGGTTCAGTTTTTAGTATCAAAATTCATGTGAGAGGAATGCTCCTGGACTCGAACTCGAAATGGGCCAGAATAACAGAATATCCCTACATCCTCTGTATCGCAGGAAAAAATCTTCAATAGAACTTTTGTAAGTTTCAGGACAACAAATACCAATTGCGTTTTTAATGGCTTTCAGTATATATATCTTCGCTGGAAGATTTGATTGGAGATGATGAAGACATGATATCTGATACAGAGAGTGAAGTATTTGGACCGTAGGGGGAAAAGGAACAATAAGATGTTGTAATTCACAAAAGATGTAAAGTAGACTTTGGGAGTGTTCTTATCCTAATATCTACTGATTGAAACAGAGCTGATAACTATTATATGAAATCTGTATATCTGATTGTCTGACTGATATTAAACCAGATAACATAAACATGACCTGTTACTTAAAAGAGATATCCAATATAAATACAATTGATAATGAAGATTAGCTATGACGCTATTGGTGCCTGACTCTGTGGGTGTGGGTTCAAATCCCGGATGAGACTCAACCCAAAATGTACTAGAATTTGAACTTTACTAAGAAAATGTAATCCCAAATATAGCATATGTTACAACTGACCACTTTCTAATTGGCATTGTGTAATCAAAGAAATTAATACATGATAGTGTTTAATTATTACCACTGAATTTATGTGTTTCATCAGAAAACATTTGATACATTTCATAGTCCTGCATTTGTCAGAAGATGTTACCGTTAACAACAGGGTTCGTGTTATGCGCCCCTACACTCTGTTGGAACAATAAAAGGCTAATCAGAATTCATGTGTGTATACACATTGACTATAACCGCGAGGAAGTCAGTATGTAGCGTCTTTATCGATTTAAGTGTTTGGCAACTAATAGCTATTGAAATAGCCTAAAGTCACTGAATTAATAATGGAGTGTTTTATCAACAGGTGAGGCGAGACGGCAGACACTACTGGACACGTCCTTATGACTAGAAATCTTTCTTTTAGTAAAGTAGCTAACAAAAGAGCGATACCTTATTCATTCAAGTACTAGTATACAATTTCACTTAACTGTAAAGTCATTCAAGATGTTCAGCACGCGCCTCTTTAGGGGCCCCCTGACAGGTGTGAGTGCTCAAAAACAATATCAATTCAATTGTCAATAGAAATTTACCGAATCGTGAAGTAGCTAGATTGAGCAGGCAAGCAGTATCTTTGTAAAGAAGAATCACGTATTTGTGGTAGAATGTGTACGGATTTGTGTTGTCGCGCTAATTTATACACAACACATAAAGAATTATTGTACCCAATAATCACTGCATAATACACATTCTATTGTGCTTTGTTGTTTCTCCAAATACTGTAGAAAGAAAGATTTTACTAGAACTGATGTGATGTGATGTCACACATGGAGATGTGAATTCGGCAATGTCGAATGGTGTTTTGATGGTAATCGGAGTTGAAGCATGATTTTTATAGACTTATGCAAAACTGGATTAAACCGGATAATCAGTAAATATCATATGATGTCATATGAATGTTCTATATCTCTGCCTAAACAGGTTACAAATCTGCGAAATGAGGTCAATTTGGATCAAAAAGTAAAAGGTCACACACCTGCGTGATGAGGTGTAATTAGGTCAAGTTTAACCCAAAGTAACCGGAATACTACTCGAGAGGTCATAACAACAGACTATAAGGTCAGTTAAAATGTATGTTTGTCAAACCAACCCCAGAAATGACTAGTCTCAGGTAAGTTTTGCGCAGCCTCTATCCAAGGACTTATTAAGTGGCGAGACGGACAAATACACATTGCAAAAATAACATGCATTGTTCATGACAGTTCACTCAAACGCATTTCGTTCAGTTTGTGTTTATGGAATTAAAAAACATACAACAAAATGCAGCTACTTCGCGGAGTTAAATTTCAGCAGACACTAAGTGCACGAGAATTGCCTGCAAGTGAACCACACCCACTCCCAGATATCAGGTGTTAGAATTTTAGTCGTTTTTTTAAACATCGCTGACAGTGAGACATTAGAAATTTAGAGTTTGGTTGGGAAAGCCAGTCAGTCAGTCCATAGAGATTCATAATTTTAGCTTAGATATTTAGTGGGGTTTAGACAGTAAAGAAAGTTGGATGTTAGATATTCGGGGTTACATTAGTTTAGAATTAGTCGGGTTTTGACTATTAATAGAGTTACAATTTAGATATTAGGAGTTAGTAAAATTAGCTAAATTCTTAGAAATTCATCAACACAAAAGTTTACATATTTAGTTAGGTCTTCACACATTCGTTTTTTAATCCATAAGTTTTATTATATTTAGTTCTTCGGTTCCTCTTTAGAAAGAATTGTTATCACGTTGAGTTCCTGTTTTTACATTTTAGACAATAAGTGTTTAGTTGATTAGATTAATTTTGCAAAAGTTACGTTTTCCACAAAAACCGTCAGAACATGCATAAATATTACGCATTTGTTTCGAACAAATATACAAGGACGCGACATACCTGACTAATATATGCCGCCTCTGACAAGGAACATATTTCCAACCGTGGAGACTGGTATCCTGCAGGAAGGCCTTCCGTAAGTCATGCCACTGCGAAAATACTTCTTCTCGCAATGTTCTACCATCCTTCAGCGTCGGAACCGACTCCACCTTCATGCTGCTATTCTACAGAACTCCAGTGTGAAGGATCTGATTAATGTTTGCTGTATAGTCCCAGAATAGGCTGACAGAACAGGTTTTATTCAGGAGTAGCATCGATGAATTCCCGTGAGTGACAATGCGCTCTGTCCATTGATGTGGTAATGCTGACTTTCAGTATCATGAATGTTTAATGCTTAACAATGTCGGGGCTAGAATGGATATCCTGGGGGAAAGGATTGCATTTAAAGCAGTATGCGACTATTCTTGTGTAAGCCAGTATAATAGCCTGTCCTGTCAAACACATTAACAAATGAGTCGTAAAATGTAAACACGTGGTTTTGTCTAGTCTGTTCTACCTCTGATAATGTTTTTCATTCCGTGATTACTCAATTATCATCAACCATTAAACGTATTTTTTTCTGAACGTTTATAAGTGTGTAATACACTCACACAATAGAATGAGCTATGTCTCTACAGTTACTCGGTGCCTTTAGAAAATTAAGCTGGTGCAATTGGCGGTATATGCAGTGAGTGGAACTTTGTTAAAAGCAGTAAAAATAGAGTCTGTGTGTAACAGTATTTAGACATAGATATATACTACATGTGCAGGAGACATGGGTTGCCCAGACAGGGCAGACAGCGCATTTCACTGAGTTGTGTTCCTTGGAATCGTGGGTTCGAATGCCGGTTTTTGGCAGAAAACTAAGATCTTGGGTTCGAATCCCACTTCGCGACAGAAACCTCCTGTTTAGATGTTATTCAGCAACATACCTGTGTTCTTGGCCTTTGCCAACGTGATGAACGTCTAATGCCTGCATCACTTCAGCCTTTGTTCCTATACCAAGCTGACACACATGTATAACAGAGGCATACTGTTCAAAGCAGCGTTAAACCCAACCCATGCCCTCACTACAATATGTAAATAGATAAAGCAACACATACAAATTTCAATACCAATAGACTTGATAGGAAATACACACAATTTATATAAAAATAAATATACCATTGTACACACTGTATATGAAATAATCGAGATATACAATGTTCCTCTCAGTCAGCAAAAATTATTAGGTCATATTATATGTAATTCGTAGGGTTAAACAGAAGACTGAAGTTTTTTGTTTATTTTTTTTAACTTTCGATATTCATGTCAGTGTCATTTATTCTACACAATCATAGAACAACGTGCATGATATAGCGAAGAAACACGTGATTCTAATACAGTTTCCAAAAGTTTCCATTTTCATCATTTCGTTGGGCACGTATATTTTCCACTTGGTATATATTTTTTATGTATTTATATAAAAACAATAAGTGAGAGAGCAGACAGTGTGGATAGTAGTTATTATTGATGATAACCCCCAACGTTTAGATACATGGAACATAACGAAGCTCATCAAAGGAAGCTCCGAAGGTGCGACTCTTGACGTCGTAGCATTCCACGTAGGGACATCATCCATACAACCCTGTACAACGATGTCTCATAACTTTTGTTATAACTTGACATTCAAGAAGAAATATTTTGTCACATTTTCTCTTGTATATAATATGAAAAATACACATAGATGAATTTTCGAATTGCATCTCTATGTATACCCTTATTTCCTCTCATGAATGGATATTACATTATGTAGGTAATGCTTACAAACCAAACTCATCACTCCGTGTTATTGTTGGTCCTGTCCACCACCACCTGTCCAGGACAAGATGATCGTTTCTGACAATGATTAGTTGATGACTGACTGACTGAGTTTAGTTTTACGCCGCTTTTAGCAATATTCCAGTAACATCACGGCGGGGGACACCAGAAATGGGCTTAACTCATTGTGCCCATGTGGGGAATCGAACCCGGGTCTTCGGCGTGACGAGCCAACGCTTTAACCACTAGGCTACCCCACCGCCCGATTAAGTGATGATGTCAACAAAAGGACAAAGTAGTCAGTGATGGTGAGCTAACAAAAAGCACAATCAGTGCAGGAAATAACATACATGGAACATGACGAAGCTCATCAAAGGAAGCTCCGAAGGTGCGACTCTTGACCTAGCATTGCACGTAGGGACATCATCCATACAACCCTGTACGAGGATGTCTCATAAATCTTGTTGAATATTATGTTTTCGCCCAGGGATAATTTCACAATTGCCCAACTACTAAACTATGTGGATGGTAGTGAAAATGGAGCTTCATTCTATTGAAGTATCACATTTTACCCAAATGGAATTCAGATTTGGGCGTTGTTGGCAGTGCTGTTTAAACTTTGGATGTGGTTGCTCTGGATTGTTCCTCGTGGCTTTCCTTGACCTTATCGCTGTTATTCAATTTCACAGTGATTTTAGTTCAGTGTTGCTAAATTGAGCTTTAAACAACAGCAGCTCAGGTTTTTGCAAAACTAGAATACCCTCAACGAAAATGCAGTTTTATCTGAATGGTAAATGATTGCTGCTCTACCAGTTTCAGCACTTTGTACCATTTTCACCAAAGAAAATAGCAGTTCTACGAACTGTGTGTGGCTGAGGTCCGAGGTTTATACCTTGCCCAGAGCGACCTGAAGCCGACATACACACATGCAGTCACTGGTTCTAGTAGTTCGATAACGGTGAGTATTCCGGCTCCAAGGAACAGTTCCATTTCACCTCCAGCTATGGCTGCAGGGAGAGAAAAAAATGCCCTTTGAACAAAATTCTCACGGAATAAACAATAATCAAATAAAATATAACTTCCAGGTATTATTATATCAAAGAGACGTCTTAGTTCACATGATGCCTGGAAACAGAAATTTAATCATTTACATTTGACTTTTAGTATTGCTGTAAATTTCCGCACTCAGCAACATTCTAGATATATGACGTTGTCCTCTAAACCATCTGGTTCCGACAAACATGTGAATAACATTATAAGCCATCGGCGGCACCGTACCCGGTATATTAAGTCGCCTCTAATGATCACTCACAAGAGGCTGTTGGAGACCTATTCCCATATTACAACCCTATTCTAAATGTATCCTATAGTTGGAATATTGAATTTAACACTCCAGGTTAAGAATTCAGCTTGTTTCTTTTTCTTCCACATTGGGGAGGATCCATGACAACGAGTGTGGTGCTGACAAACGATGGGGCTGGTATCTCTCAATCTCCAGATCCTGGATCGTCTAACTCTCGTATACAATATGAAAAATACACATGGATGGATTTTCGAATTGTAACTGGAGTATTAACTTATTTCTTCTCACGAATGGATAGTGCTACACGTGTGAAAGTAATGGTACAAACCAAACACATCACTTCGTGTTATTGTTGGTACATGTTCCGTCCTGTCCACCACCATGCTGGAAAAGCCGATGTCCAGGACAAGGTGATCGTTTCTGACAATGATTAAGTGATGATGTCAACAAAAGGATAAAGTAGCCAGTAATGGTGAGCTAACAAAACTCACAATCAGTGCAGAAAATAACAGACGTAATTGACAGTCAGATAAAGTTTGCTTTGGTTTGGTTGTTGTTTAACGCCGCACTCAGTAATATTCCAGCTATATGGCGGGGGTCAAAAATGATCGAGTCTGCACCAGACAATCCAGTGACTAGTCAGATAAACAGTAGAAAATATATTTGTGAATAAAGATAAACATTCAATTAGTCTTTACAGCCAGGATCCAATTTTCATTGGTTCAATACTATCGACTTCTTGTCTGTCAGTACCATTAGCCTAATGGTAAGGTAGCACTAATACGATTTTTCGCAGATAAGGGGCATTATAATACTAATGAAGACAGGAATTGTTCTAGCATTGCTTCCAAACAGGTTGCTTTCAAAGTACTTCTTCTATTTTAACATCTACTACCTGAATGCCAAATGGCCGCTCTCTAACATTTACACACTTTGTAGAACCCCATGCCATATGCTGCCATCGTAAATCTAAGAAAGACAGCTTGTCCCAACTTACCTCAGGCTCTCAACGGATGGAACATCAACAAGCTCAGCAAGCTTGGCAATCAGGAATGTGGGGTTTTGTTGGAATGGCATGAAGGAGACCTGCACGTCGTGGGATATTTGTTGGCATTCCTGCAAGCATGAGCAACTCCTCCCCTTCTTGGCCATCTCTGATTCCCGATCAATAACAGACAACATCTTATTGAACAGTGTTATAGCTATCTCACATAGTAAAGTTAATAATTGTGTAATAATACCTTTTTTCAACTGCAGTTTTACAGATTGGGACTGCTACGTTATTTCGAAAGGTTATGCATTTGTTCCGATGTTCTTTTGGCAAATTTCTGCATGAAAGAATGGACTCGGAAAAACAGCTAGACCAGGATTGATGTGTATTGTGATTATATACATATCGTACCCACTCATATAACGTCCACTCATCCATCTTAACCACAAACACTGGCGCCCCGCAGGGTTGTGTGACGTTCCCAGTGTTATTCACCACCTACACGAACGACTGCACTGCTCAGAAACTCGATTGCTCACTGGTCAAATTTGCTGATGACGCTTCTCTTGTTGCTCTCATTACTGATACTGAGGACTACTACCCAACAGAAATAACCAGACTTTACAGACTGGTGTGAGAGACCTACAGTTGAATGTATCTAAAACGAAAAAGATGGCAATAGACTTTCGCATGAAGAAAGAGGCATTACATCCCGTGACAATAAATGGTACGGTAGTTGAGAGCGTCACAGAGTACAAGGCACTGTCTTAGACACTAAGCTCAACTAAACGCCAACACCAACGCCTTGTATAATAAGTCCCAACAGAGACTGTTTCTTATGCGCAAGCTCAGATCTTTCCAAGTGGAGACAGGAATAATGCTCTCATACTACAGGTTTTTCATACAAAGTGTCCTGACATTCTCCATACAAGTCTGGTATGGTTCTCTATAAGTGAAAAACAGGAACAAGCTGAACAAGATCCTGAATATCAGCAGCCCCTGTACCCAGGCAAGACGTCATCCACCACAACAGAGTTCTCTCCCTTGCTAGCAAAGTGGTAGCCGATCCAACACATGCCCTCAACATGAGATATGTCCTCCTGCCATCAGGCCTCAGAT